CAGAAGCAGTATCTGTTAAATCGCCAACATGTTCCACTTCGACACCATCAACGCCAACAAATGCGTCATCTTCGTCATCTTCATTGGAATGGAGCTCAACATAAAAATCATCATCACAGTCCGAATAAACAGCAAGGTAGGGATCATCATCAACGTAAGGAAAAACATTCAAGTCAGAATCAGCATCAACATCAGAATCAGCATCAACGTCAGAATCAGCATCAACGTCAGAATAAGCCTAAATATCCTAGTCAGCCTTACATTCAAAATCAACGAGAGCACAAACACATACGCCAGATACACGGTCTAACAAGGCAACAGCTTCTTCGTCTGAGGAGAAACATTGAGTCTCAGAGACAGATGCAGCAGCAACGACGTTCCCACAAGACCCACGTCACGACCAACACGGCTGGAGGAGCTAATAACCAAGTCACGACCAACACGGCTAGAGGAGCTAATAACAATCATAATGCTGGACCAAAGTCCTCCCAAAATGAATCAAGTCAGCCTCCAACGTTTCTCAAATTGGCACAAGGGGTATCACTAGGAGGTCACACGGAACAGAAACAAGACACATTTCAAGACTTGTCGAGAAAGAAACAAGAGCAATATAGCAGCCTCAGAAGGAAATTTGCTTTGATGAACAACAATATGAGTCGGTTTCAAGCTGATCACCAGCCGATAAAAAGCATAAGGCAACTCCTGCCATTATCACAGCAAGAGAGCAAAAGGTTACACCTGCTACGGAGCATATCGGGAGGTCAGTCGTCTATATGGACAAACTCAAGTAACTCCAGAAGACCACAGTCGATGTTACTTCGTCAAGGGGAAGACAAGAAGGTTACAGCATTTGCACCAAAACCAGCGGAAGAAGTGTTTGGCAGTGCTAATCAGAAGCATACACAGACCACTGATTCACATAGCCACGCCAGACCTACAGCAGGGTCTTTGCCAAGGAACAAGATGGCAAATATGTCCAGCATTTCAAAACCTCGAGGTAGAGCAAGAAACACTGAACTGCAATTCAACAACACGTCATCCAAGATCGGATCAGTTGTAAGGAATATCGTTTCTATTATGCATCGTAGGCGACAAATGGGTCTGACTACAAGAAACCACGGGCTTAGGAACCCAATAAATTCTAAACTGGGTAGCTCTACAAAACGGCTCCATCCTGGGACTGCAGGACAAGGGAAGGATCAGAAAATGCATATTTCGCCTTTATCAAGTGCGCCATCAAATGACTCGACAGTAAACACACCACTGAAGGCAGAACATCACAGTTTGAAAACGAGCAACATCCAAAGGACAGATTCCACAAGCTTGGATCAGTTGGAGGTAAAGAAATTATCAAGACATCAAGTGTTAAACAACTTTAGAACAGATGCTGGACACAGTGTTCAACGCCTACAATCACAAGATGATGGTATACTAAATAACGACAGAAACCATGTAACAGATAGAGGCTCTATTCTGAGTGTTGGGTATAACAACAACCAGCAGATGACAAGGCCCCAAACCCCAGTCCAAAGACAGATCTCACATAGATCCCGTAGCACAAATGGAGAGGTGCCACCTGACGCACAATCCGATGTAGTTTATGATACGTCAGTCGATGTGAATACCAAGGAGGACAAATCCAACTTTTCAAGAGTTCATCCAAGTCAACCCAGAAGTCAAATGACTAACACTGCTAACCGCTTGCCAACTTCTCAGCATCAAGACATCCCTTTGAATCTTTCTAGACAACAAGAGTTGAGAAGGAACAACCACAAACGGACGCATTCCAGTCTGGGATCCCCCCAGAGGAATTGGAATGGCATTCCTCAGATATTAAGATCACAACCGTCTGTCTCAGGGAGGAAGACATTCTCCAGGGCAAGCAACAGCAGTGATATGTTTACAAACAACGTCAAGTCTAATCAAAGTCACATCATTCCATTCCATGTTGATCCAACACAGCAGGACCATTCCAGCGTTTTATCACGTCGGCCAAGTCCATCAATAAATCACATGACAAATAACCTGAGAAACAATAGCTGGCAGACTACCCGTCATGAAGATACGTCTTTTACCATACCTGTGCAGTCTTCGGCAAGGGAGAGTGGAAACAAAGGGCAACCTGGAAGACGGACATCCAATGGCAATAATTGGAACAACATTCAACAGATACATAGACAACAGTCATTAGTCCGAGGGAAGAAGGCAAATCACACAACATCAGTCCAGGTGAATCAAATGAATCACAACAATGCTACTGTTTCACAAGTTGCATTAAGTCAGCCAAACGTATTTATTAGAAAAAAATGGGAAACCTCACAGCATCTTGGAAATTCTCCTAACATACCAGTGCAATCTCTGAGAAGACGGACCGAAAGCATAAATCGTCCTGCCATGATAGGGCCCGGTCCAACTGGTTTAAATAACATGCAGTGGAGAATGACACTGCAGTCTTCTGACCGAACGATGACATCACAGACTATGAATCAGTTCACGCCATCAGCAGGGAGAAAGAACAGGGCAAATGTTCAACACCGTATACAACCGGAGAAGGATAAACCTTCTCGAAGCACAATCCAGTCTGCCATGGGCAATACTTCCGCCATGAGAGGTAATTCCCAGGACCTTACAAACCACCGTGTGGGTTTTGATATGAAAGGAAAGAAAGCACAAGTGACCCGGAGTCAGAGTAGAAATGGTCCGTCTAAAAGTGGGCAGAGCGCAGTAACAATACCTGCGACACCAAAATACACAACAGTCAAACAAACAACACACCAACAACAATCTCATGGTGTGACAATGCCCAGGTGGAACTCGAATTCAAACATGAGGTCAAAGAGTTTACAGAATGCTCGTATCCGTGTTGGAGCTAGGATGCCGTTAAGGAATGTTCATGGCATCAATATGTTAGGGTCTCGCGTCTCCCCACAAACAATACCAGTTATAGCAGGAAGAATGGGCTCGTCGTTTGATGGACATAGGTCATCGGAAGGTGTCAACTTTAATCAAAATCGTGCTAATGTTCCGCGTTCATCTTCTCACAATGAAGACTTGGTTAAGCCACTTAGAACTTTACAAAGAAATATCACTGAACACACACTCAGAAATCAGGGAATTATCAGCCCCAAATCAGAGCAACGAACGCGTCACGGTTCTAACAGAGTTAAAGACTTCCTGAACCAAAATATACCGAACAGATCACAAGAGATTTTACAGGCTACAAGGTCAACGTCTTCAATGAACAAGAAATATGCAGATGTAGCAACGTCAACATCTACACACCAAATTCAGCAACCAGACATCGGACATGTATCCAGGGAAGCTGGACCAGACAGAGGCGGAACCGTTGCCCACAGACAATCGCAACCACCTCTGCAGATGGGTGGTGTCCAAGCTACTACACACATCGTCAGAGGTACTGTACCAGACACAGGAAGAACCGTTGATCACAGCAAAGTGCCCCAACCTGAGGAGATGGATGGTGTCCAAGGTACTACACATGTCTTTAGAGGTACTGAACCAGGCATAAACAGAGCAGTTGATCACAGCAAAGAGCTCCAACCTCAGCAGATGGATGGTGCCCAAGCTACTACACATGTCTTTAGAGGTACTGAACCAGACACAGGCGGAACCGTTGATCACAGCAAAGAGCTCCAACCTCAGCAGATGGATGGTGCCCAAGCTACTACACATGTCCTTAGAGGTACTGAACCAGACACAGGCAGAACCGTTGATCACAGCAAAGTGCCCCAATCTCAGCAGACAGATGGTGCCCAAGCTACTACACATGTCTTTAGAGGTACTGAACCAGGCACAGGAAGAACCGTTCATCCCAAACAATCGCCCCCACCTCAGCAGACAGATGGAGCTGGGCCAGCCACAGGCAGAACCTTTGACCACAGACAATCGCATCCACCTCAGCAGATTGATGGTGTCCAAGCTACTACACATGTCTTTAGAGGTACTGAACCAGACACAGGCAGAACAGTTGATCACAGCAAAGTGCCCCCGCCTCAGCAGATGGATGGTGTCCAAGCTACTACACATGTCTTTAGAGGTGCTGAACCAGACACAGGAAGAACCATTGATCACAGCAAAGTGCCCCAACCTCAGCAGACAGATGGTGCCCAAGCTACTACACATGTCCTTAGACGTACTGAACCAGACACAGGCAGAACCGTTGATCACAGCAAAGTGCCCCAAACTCAGCAGATGGATGGTGCCCAAGCTACTACACATGTCTTCAGAGGTACTGAACCAGGCACAGGAAGAACCGTTGATCACAGCAAAGTGCCCCAATCTCAGCAGACAGATGGTGCCCAAGCTACTACACATGTCTTTAGAGGTACTGAACCAGACACAGGCAGAACCGTTCATCCCAAACAATCGCCCCGACCTCAGCAGACAGATGGAGCTGGGCCAGCCACAGGCAGAACCTTTGACCACAAAAAATCGCATCCACCTCAGCAGATTGATGGTGTCCAAGCTACTACACATGTCTTTAGAGGTACTGAACCAGACACAGGCAGAACCGTTGATCACAGCAAAGTGCCCCCACCTCAGCAGATGGATGGTGTCCAAGCTACTACACATGTCTTTAGAGGTACTGAACCAGACACAGGAAGAACCGTTGATCACAGCAAAGTGCCCCCACCTCAGCAGACAGATGGTGTCCAAGCTACTACACATGGCTTCGGAAGTGCTGAACCAGGCACAAACAGAACCGTTGATCACAGCAAAGTGCCCCCACCTCAGCAGATGGATGGTGTCAAAGCTACTACACATATCTTTAGAGGTACTGAACCAAGCATAAACAGAGCAGTTGATCACAAAAAAGTGCCCCCACCTCAGCAGATGGATGGTGTCGAAGCTACTACACATGTCTTCAGAGGTACTGAACCAGGCACAAACAGAACCGTTGATCACATCAAAGTGCCCCAATCTCAGCAGACAGATGGTGCCCAAGCTACTACACATGTTTTCAGAGGTACTGCACCAGACACAGGAAGAACCGTTGATCACAGCAAAGTGCCCCCACCTCAGCAGATGGATGGTTTCCATATTTCATCTTTGAACAGTTCTGATGAAGCAAGAGGCAATACTGATATTCATGAAAGTGTTGTTGTATCTAATGCACGTCAACCTGCCCTCAACAACACACCCACTGTTCCCCTGCTACAAAGAACGCTCTCTCAGCTGATGCCGTCTCGCGCGGGGAACAACAAGAAGAAGAAGCTGTTACTGAAACTCCGCCGAATGTTTTATAATAATGTTACAAGCAAAACAGAAGTGTCTCATGTTGACACTAAGCTTTTAACTACTACCGTGACAACTACAACTACGACGAAGACTCCCAGTACAACTACAACCTCGACATCTACAACTACATCTACGGCTACAGCTACCACAAAGAGTACAAACACAGCCACCATTATATCCACTGACTCAGCTTCATTTGCACAGAGTACAACTACAGCGTCAGCTGCAAGTACAACTGCACCATCAACTACAACAAATGCTCCATCAAGACCGTTGCTTAATGCTGTCAGCGTGAACCAGAGGAAGATGGAGCTTCTCAACATACTCCGACAGATGATGATAAGCAATCTGACCACTGAAGCAAGCAGGAAGCAGGATTTGCATTCCAACCAAACACCATCCACTTCATCTGATCTCCTTCATCAGGTGGGTTCGGAGTTCCCAGAGGTGGCTTCCACACCACCTGTAACCACACAAAAAGAGCAAACTCGAAACCCAAGTACAAGACCAACGCTTGACATAGCCGACAATGTATGGCAACACAACAGGACTACCACAGCATTCAACCCAGGTACAACTGTTCCCCCAACTTCGAGGCCTTACCCAAGTACACTCCCGGAGGTAACGACCGACATGCCTAATTCAGACATCTTAGCTTTCCCAAGTACACTCCCGGAGGTAACGACCGACATGCCTAATTCAGACATCTCGGCTTTCCCGAGTACACTACCGAAGGTAACGACCGACATGCCTAATTCAGACACGTCGGCTAAAGTTACACGAAAACAGAAGAAGATGGAGCTTTTACTGAAGTTGAAGAAAATGTTTATCGACCGTACCACAAGTGAATCGTCTACACGCCTGACAAGCACACAGCAGGTTACTGCTGATACAGTGTTACCCACTTCTCAGCTGTCAACCTTAGGAACAATAACGCCAACAGGTTCCACTACAAAGCAGAGTGTCGCACCCACTGTGTCGGATACAGTGCCAGGTGGAAGAGATATGGCCTCGTCTGGAAATGACATTCCTACCAGAAAACTCAAGAAACCCACAAGCCAGCCAGGCGCCAATGATCAAATCGCCACACGTGTCATTCCTCCAGGTGACATGAATATAACTGGCAATCCACAACTGGGAATCCAAAAGGCAGATTTATTCAGAAAACTTAAACTAATGCTTATGCAAAACATCAGTCTACAGCAGAGTTTGAATGCGGAAGCCACTGTACCTGAGACTCACAAAGAATCACTGGATAATATATCTGGGCAGGGCAAACATGCAAACCTGCCACATTTCTCCTTTGGTAACAATCACTATAGAACTACATACAATCTTCGGGGAGAAAACATTGTAACTCAACAATTCTCTGGTAATCCCGTGAATCTTGAACTCTCCAGGCAAGACAATATCATCAAGGTTCCTGTATTTGATATCGACAAAAGTCCATCATCATCATCATCAACAACTGTGTCCATGACGATGACGTCAGCTATTCAGAATGGTGTTGTGGAAGGAGCTCAGCAGGAACCTTCTGCGGGCCAAGTCACTGTGAATACATTCGGAATGACACATGACACTGCACCTCTGCTTCATAAATCTACACAAGTTGCATCTTCAGGCCCATCAGTATCAAGTTTTACCTCATCTACCTCTTTACCACAATCGCCTGCATCTGTGTCTCAACATACAACGCCAGGGAATACGCCAATGACTTCAGGCTCAACACCTCCATCAGGATCATCATCTACGTCTTTCACTACCTCTCCGCCGACCTCATCTGGTATTACATCCTCACCAACAGCATCGGTGTCTTTACAGTTTCCGACTGCATCATCACCTTTAATTAAGCCTCAAGAGCAGACCACAGGCACACCTATGTCAACTGTGTCAGCATTTGCAACAACAGTGACGGTGGCTTCAACAGCAGCGTCGTCATCCTCTGGCGTTATTGTACGAACCATGTCACCAAAGTCTTTCGTGCCAACTGAAGGAACAACCTCTCCAACCTCCTCGTCGATAACTACTTCGCGACATGTTCCTCCGTCTACTGCAACAACAAGCAAAACAACAACAATCCCAACGTCAGATTCTAAAAGGGTGACTTCTTCGCCGTCAGCAACTACAGAAATAATGTATGCCGAAATACTTTCAAATCTGTTCTCCAAAACTGTTCCACCAACTTCGGCAGTATCTACCACAACACCTACCTCAAGAACGCGTTCAACAGCTGTTCCAACAGCAACAAAAGCCTTTGTTCCAACAACAACATTTCCCAGAACATTTGAAATACCTGCATACACTACTTCAGCACCTATTTCTACACAGTCGGCAGGACTTACCTCGACCCCTGAACCGTCTTCTGTAATAAAGATCACAGCCATTCCTATGAGTCATTCTGTGTCTCCTGCCCCTGTACAAATGTCAATGTCTACTCCTACAGCCACCCCAACCTCTGATTCAACCTCCATAACAACCACTACTCCAACCTCTGCTTCAGTGCCTATACCAACAGCTACCTTGACAACGGTTGCAGCGTCCATACCAACCAGTACCTCAAATACTGCTCCAATATCCACCACAACGACATCTTCAACACCAACAGCGTTTCTAATAAATCTTGAATCTATTAGCCCTTTAGGTGTCTCAGCAACATCTTCAGAGTCCACTTCAGCCCCTTCAACTTCCCAAACCACACCATCTACCTTCTCCTTGTCAACAGCATATCAGACTGAAACTTCTACTTCCTCCCCAGTATCCAGCACCTGGTCTGGCTCTCCAGGATTCCAGCAAACTGATTTGGCTTCATCCAGATCTGCGTCAAACCATGTGCAGGTTGCCCCAGGACGTTCTCCATTCGTTATGTTTGACCTGAGTAATAGGAAAAGTTTCATCCTCCAAAAACCATCAGGTGGTGCCCCCATCAGCTTCAACACTTTGACACCATTAACATGGCTGAGTGAGAAGAGCCTGTCACCAAACCGTCACGCTGCAGATTCGCGCATCTCTAATCCATATCAGACGCTCCTTGACTCATTTAAACACGTCAGAAAAGACCCGAAAGGAAGCAATGTTCTGAAAGTTCCCAGCCTAAACACAATCTCTCGTAGCAATACCCCCCATGTGTTGGGGGGCATATTGATGCCGAATACTCATGACTTCATACTGCCCGGACTCAAGGATGTCAATGCTGATGCTCCTTCCTCTGTGACTAGGAGAAGCACATCTTTAACGGTTGATCCAGACTCTTCGACAACAATATCTGCAGCTACTACCGCTATACCTACAACTACTCCTGTCATGATCACAAAACCTGCACCAACTACCTCGACTGATACTTCTATAACAACATCCACAACGGCTGCATCTACACCAACACTTACCAGTACTGCAGCATCTACAACCTCTACTACATTAAGTACTTCACCTGCAACTACGACCACAACATCTACACTAACTACGGTAACCACTACAAGTGGTTCTCCTGCATCTACAACCACTGTTACTTCTAACATAGCTACACCATCAACGACAGCTTTGAAAACTCCACTTACAACAACCACTACTGTTGCAACTACAACCGCTACTACTACAAGAACTGAACCAACGACAGCAACTACAGACACTGCAACAATGACCACTAAACCTACTGCCACACACGCATCTGCTACCACCAGCTCTGCTACTAAAACACAAGATACCACCACACCAACTTCAACAACTACTACAAAGAAAACGACTCCTACATCTACCACTACTGCTGTTACACCTTCACCAACTAGTACCTCCACATCTACAGCAACGACTACCACGACTGCTACATCTCATACAGCAACTACACGCACAACGGTTCTTACTGTTCTCACTGCTGCTTCAGCTATTTCTGAAGCAGCTGCTGACGGTGAGGCAATCAGTGTATCTGCAGGTCCCGCTCCAACAACAAGGGCAGGTGCTCGGTCGTCGTCGACCACACCAGAAGCAGCTACGACTACTACATCTACAACAACATCACTAACCTCTACAACACCCACAACTACCTCACCAACTACTATGACAACACCTACAACTACCACAACCACTACAACACCCACAGATACATCAGCAACCACCACACAACGACAACAACTCCAACAACTCCAACAACTACCACATCAACCACTACGACACCCACAACTACCACACCAACCACTACAACACCCACAACTACCACGCCAACCACTACGACATCCACAACTACAACAACTCCAACAACTACCACACCAACCACTACAACACCTACAACTACCACACCAACCACAACGACACTCACAACTACCACACCAACCACTACGACACCCACAACTACCACACCAACAACAACACCCACAACTACCACACCAACCACTACAACACCCACAACTACCACGCCAACCACTACGACATCCACAACTACAACAACTCCAACAACTACCACACCAACCACTACAACACCTACAACTACCACACCAACCACAACGACACCCACAACTACCACACCAACCACTACCACACCCACAACTACCACACCAACAACAACACCCTCAACTACCACACCAACCACTACGACACCTACAACTACCACGCCAACCACTACGACATCCACAACTACAACAACTCCAACAACTACCACACCAACCACTACAACACCCACAACTACCACACCAACCACAACGACACCCACAACTACCACACCAACCACTACGACACCCACAACTACAACAACTCCAACAACTACGACACCAACAACTACCTCTACGACAACACCCACAACTACCACACCAACAACAACACCCGCAACTACCACACCATGCACTACGACACCAACAACTACCACACCAACCACTACGACACCCACAACTACCACACCAACCACTACAACACCCACAACTACCACACCAACCACTACAATACCTACCACTACGACAACACCCACAACTACCACACCAACCACTACGACACCCACAACTACCACACCAACCACTACAACACCACAACTACCACACCAACCACTACAATACCTACCACTACGACAACACCCACAACTACCACACCAACCACTACGACACCCATAACTACCACACCAACCACTACAACACTCACAACTACCACACCAACCACTACAACACCTACCACTACGACAACACACACAACTACTACACCAACAACGACAACAACTGCCACTATGACACCTACCACTATGACAACACCCACAACTACCACACCAACAGCGACAATACCATTCACTACAACACCCACAACTACAACACCAGAAACGGCAACACCTACCACTACGACAACACCAATAACTACTACACCTGCCATTACGACAACACCAACCACTACAACACCCACAACTACAACACCAGCAACGGCAACACCAACAACCACAACACCCACAACCACAACACCCACAACTACCTCACCAACAACTACCACACCAACAACTACCACACCAACCACTACGACACCAACAACTACCACTACGACAACACCCACAACTACCACACCAACAACTACCACACCAACAACTACCACACCCACAACTACCACACCAACAACTACGACACCAACAACTACCACTACGACAACACCCACAACTACTACACCAACAACTACCACACCAACAACTACCACTACGACAACACCCACAACTACCTCACCAACAACTACCACACCCACAACTACCACACCAACAACTACCACACCAGCCACTACGATACCAACAACTACCATTACGACAACACCCACAACTACTACACCAACAACTACCACACCCACAACTACAACACCCACAACTACCACACCAACCACCACGACACTAACAACTACCACACCAACCACTACAACACCAACCACTACGACAACACCCACAACTACCACACCAACCACTACGACACCAACAACTACCACTGCGACAACACCCACAAATACTACACCAACCACTACGACAACACCAGCAACTACTACACCAGCCACTAAAACACTAAGTACCACAACAACACCCACAACTACCACATCAACAATGACAACACCAACCACTACGACACCAACAACTCTCACTACGACAACACCCACAACTACTACATCAACTACTACGACAACACCCACAACTACTACACCAACCACTTCAACAACATCTACAGTTACTCCAAGGGAGCATGTAGCTGATGATACTGGAACCGCAACCGCACTGACTGCATTTACTGCTGCAACCTCCACCACTGTCGCCACCACCACTGTCGCTACCACCACTGTGTCTGATAATCTACTGATTGAAGAACCTGGAGTGTTAGATGCGCTGAGGAACCTTCTGGTGGACTTCGGCCTCATGCAGGACGCAGGACCTTCTGTAACCACCAATCCCAACACAACAACGACCATAGCAATGTATTCCACAACAACAACCACGGCATCGACTCAGCCCACAACAGCAACCACAACAGCTACGACGACTCCACTCGTGACAACAACCACAACAACGACTCAATCCACGACAACCTCATCTACGAGTGCACCAACGACAACTGAACCAACAGCCACAGAATCAGAGGTGTGTCCACAAGGTGAAATTGTTGAATGTTCTCCCCGGAGAAGGTTCTCGGGTGGTTCTCGGTTTTCCCGTCTGTGGACCATGTGCCAGTCTCGCTGTTCCCTGGACGGAACCTGTGACACCCCGCTCTGCTCCTGTAGGTGTATCCCGATACTCCATCAGAGACTTGACAGGAGCGACGACAGTTGAAGCGAGTAGAACGTATACACTGGGTGCTGTAACAGCTCCCATAGGATCAACTCTGCTGCAGGAATTATTTCGTTGTTTTCAAGACGTTCATTGTTTCTCAGAAGTGATCTGAAGTAAAGATAGAGTGATGTTTAAAGAGGCACCTGAGATTCCCTATAATGCTGTATCAGAAGACTGTTGTCATTCGCTGTCAAGATGTATCGGGAGACTCTTGTGACTGGCTGTCAAGATGTTACAGGAGACTCTTGTGGCTGGCTGTCAAGATGTTACAGGAGACTCTTGTGGCTGGCTGTCAAGATGTTACAGGAGACTCTTGTGGCTGGCTGTCAAGATGTTACAGGAGACTCTTGTGACTGGCTGTCAAGATGTTACAGGAGGCTCTTGTGACTGGCTGTCAAGATGTTACAGGAGACTCTTGTGACTGGCTGTCAAGATGTTACAGGAGACACTTGTTATTGACTGTCAAGATGTTACAGGATACACTTGTGATTGGCTGTCCAGATGTTACAGGAGACTCTTGTGACTGGCTGTCAAAATGTTACAGGAGACTCTTGTGACTGGCTGTCAAGATGTTACAGGAGACACTTGTTATTGACTGTCAAGATGTTACAGAAGACTCTTGTGACTGGCTGTCAAGATGTTACAGGAGACACTTGTTATTGACTGTCAAGATGTTACAGGAGACACTTATGATTGGCTGTCAAGATGTTACAGGAGACTCTTGTGACTGGCTGTCAAGATGTTACAGGAGACTCTTGTGACTGGCTATCAAGATGTTACAGGAGACACTTGTTATTGACTATCAAGATGTTACAGGAGACTCTTGTGACTGGCTGTCAAGATGTTACAGGAGACACTTGTTATTGACTGTCAAGATGTTACAGGAGACACTTGTTATTGACTGTCAAGATGTTACAGGAGACACTTGTGATTGGCTGTCAAGATGTTACAGGAGACACTTGTTATTGACTGTCAAGATGTTACAGGAGACACTTGTTATTGACTGTCAAGATAATACAGGAGACACTTGTGATTGACTGTCAAGATGTTACAGGAGACACTTGTGATTGGCTGTCAAGATGGTTCAGGAGACACTTGTGATTGGCTGTCAAGATGGTTCAGGAGACACTTGTGATTGACTGTCAAGATGGTTCAGGAGACACTTGTGATTGGCTGTCAAGATGGTTCAGGAGACACTTGTGATTGGCTGTCAAGACGGTTCAGGAGACACTTGTGATTGGCTGTCAAGATGGTTCAGGAGACACTTGTGATTGGCTGTCAAGATGGTTCAGGAGACACTTGTGATTGGCTGTCAAGATGGTTCAGGAGACACTTGTGATTGGCTTTCAAGATGGTTCAGTTCAGGAGACACTTGTGATTGGCTGTCAAGATGGTTCAGGAGACACTTGTGATTGGCTGTCAGGAAACTAGTGTCTACAGGCAGGAGGGAGAGTCGGGTTAGATGGTGTTGATAATCCTGAGGTTGGACTGCCAGTTTGTGTAACAGGTCTGATAATGAGTGTTGTGTCGATGTGACGTCCCTGGCAAAAATTTAGACCGAACATAAAGATCATGTCACTTTTCTTGAAAAGCTTGATGCTGCATGTTTAGAAGCATGTTAAATTGAACGGCAGGATAGAGTCAATTTATCCAAATCAGGACACTCGTGAAAAGGCACCGTGACACAAAACAAGGACTGCAAACAAAACTGGTGCTGTATATGTTAGTACATTGCCCTTCTATGTTGGATAAATACTTACGACAAAACTATTTCCACATCCACAAGGAATCTCCGTGAAACGTTAAGTAGACAGTACAGTTCCAGCCACACCAGACAGCTCTACAGTGAATAACACAACGAAGAAAGTGGAACATGCAATACTCTGGGTTGTGTCAACTATCATTTGGACGCTCGAATCCTATCAGGCATGGTGGCACATTCTTGACAGGCAGATTATTGGATTATTCAGACAAGGGTAAGGTAATGATACAGGACAGAGCCGTGGCCGTGAATGTAGGTCAATGTAGGCCTTTGTTGGCGAATCATGATGTATCGATGTACTAAATGATGCTTAAAACAGTCATTATCACAGTCCTCGTTGTCATCCATGTGTTATATTTATGAATACACTTGACATATCACACATTCAAGTACACAGGTATGAATTATAACTCCTATTTAAAAACACATTGTGCACAGATTCTGAGATTTAATAAATATCTCATATAATATATCCTTCTTCTGTCATCCGTTGGCTGGGTCCGGTTGGTCCACTTGTCTCAGTCCATTGCCTGGATTTCCGATACAAAGTTACCTGGACTAGACGTGCCAGGCATGAAGGATCGCGGGTTCGAACCCCGAATCCCAGCTCGTCGGCATTATGTTATAAGGTTCGTCAGCACCACTATATTTCAGCATCAATAATATAAACTCTTCAAAAATAGTAGGGGAACCTCATTTTTAACTTGCGGTTGAAACAAATTTGGAGATATATCGGAGTCAATTAGATGAATGTCAATTTATTTCTTTTCTTTTTTATAAGAATTGTTTCTATGTATTTATTTATTTATATTTAGCGTTCCCAGTAAGTTGAATACAAGCATGTACAAGAATATGTGTAATCTGGTGTACATAACAGTTTGTGGGCTCAACAGAGGTATAATACATTAAATATAAATATCAACCGCAATATAGTTCGGTTAAATTATATATTTAGGATTAAATACTGGGGAGAGGAAACAATTTGGTTGCGAAGCTTCAAATTACCCTTAAGTAATTACCAACTTTGGGAATTGTTCTTTTCAAAGAACAAGTACAAATATATTTCTGAGCAGAGAACATTATGTGATCTAATAATGGGTTCTTATTTAAAATGCTAAATCAAATCAAAGCTTTTGTCAAATTAAATTCCTGAATACTTTCCGTAATCCACTGTTCAAGTTTCTACCATAAAGTTTTGGTTTCATCACATTCCCAATATACATGGCTTAACGTCTCACTAGAAATATTACAAAAATAACCTATTGTATTGTCAACAAGATTCATAAGAGAAAGTGTTTTTTTCATAAACAATTCCATGCAGACGTCTGTCTTTGGAAAGTGTGTTATGCTTATACTTCCTGTCAAAATCAAACGTTCTACGGAAGCCTAATTCTGCCACTTTTGTAGCATAAATATTTTTTTCTGCTACAAGTCTCGTTACTTCGAGTATTTTCTCGTTACTTCGAGTTCTTTTCTCGTTACTTCAAGTTTCTATCAAAAACCTGAAATTTCAAATATTTTCTCGTTACTTCAAGTTTCTGTCAAAAACTTGAAATTTCGAGTATTTACTCGTTGCTTCGAGTGTTTTCTCGTTTCTTCAATTAATATTTCGTTGCTTCGATTAATTTCTCGTTGCTTCGAATTTTTTTTCGTTGCTTCAAGTTTCTCTCAAAAACTTGAAATTTCGAATATTTACTCGTTGCTTCGGTATCTTTCTCGTTATTTCAATTATTCTTTCATTGCTTCGATTAATTCCTCGTTACTTCAAGTTTCTGTCAAAAACTTGAAATTTCAAGTATTTACTCGTTGCTTCAAATTTCTGAAAGAAAGTTGAAGGAACGAGAAAAATACTCGAAACAACGAGAAGGGGATGTCCTAAAACTCGGGCCGGGCCAAGCCGGGTCAAAGAGGGCCAAGTATGTAATTGGCTACAACATTGATTATCGAAAACCATGTCTACAATTAATTAATCCAGCTTACACCCATGACAATATGGGCAGCAGGAAGCCACACACGTGTGTCATAATAACCTTATTACGAGTAAATCGCTTAAAACTCAGGAAGACGTGCGAGTGGCCTGTGAAAGTGACTAAGGAAGGTTACGTCTAAAAGAGAAGTCGTTAAACGAAACAGGATTCAAAACGTATTAATCCTTCAGTCAGTCCTGATATACATTTCTGTCGGCCCGGAAAGGTTTTTACAAATACTAAATCATCGTATTTAAAGCATGCCCACAGGTAAATGATACGATCTTTTCCCCACACTTGTTCTGTTCTGTTTAGCCCGGACCGTCAAAAGCAGCATAGATCTCACACATGTATCTTGAATGTTGTTTAAATCTTTAGAGCAGTATTATATCTACCTATATATCATTTTCAAAGTTACAAAAAGCCACATGTAAAGATAACTGGTCCGTAAAAGTGAAGCCCGTTTCCCCCTCCATTCCCAACATATCCAGCCTCTGTCAAAAGTGTTAAGTCTCTGACTTGTCCCGGGCCATCAAAAACAATCTAAACATCACACATGTATCCTGAATTGTACATATATCTAGTTATATCTACCTAAAACCTCTTTATGAAGTCTCAGATTGAAGTAATTTGAACGATCACGTTGCTCAAAGTGGGGCCATTAGCCTCATTCTCAACATGTCACAAGTCATCGGACCACAGTCATATGAATCCCTGTTCTCATATTTGTTTGGTCTGTAGAGTTCCATGGCAAACATCAAACTGATACCCATGGAATGTTACCATTTAAAAAGTATGCCAGAAACACAGGCGAACAACCTGCCTAATATAAGGTAGTATTGTTGTGTTGTTGTTTTCTTAACCCCTTTCACATATGAATCATAGTACTATGTATCATTCACACTCCGATATGTTTGTCAACATATACATGTAGTATGGATGCACCCAGTTCGTCCCTTGCGTCAGTTTTTAAAAGTAAAGAATGAAAAGAAATTGCCCACGCAAACGAACCACATGAAATAATAGCGACAAAGCCCGTTCCATATCCATAAGAGTCGATAGTAAACGTTCCGAATATATTATGAGCATTTTTATATTTTTTTGTGTTTTGTTTTTTTGGTTTGTTTCAAGTGTGTGGTTTTCTTTTGTTGTTTAACGCCGCTTTCAGCAATATACCTGCCATATGACTGTAAATATCGAGTCTAGACCAGACAATCCATTGGTGGACATAATGACAGAGCATATGTTTATGAATCACTAGATACCAGGTGTTCTCGAAAAGGTATGCGTATCCTGTCCCACCATATGGACATCCTGGAGAATTGTTCACCTAGGAACGATTAGGGAGCTTAGGTACAAGTCTAAATAGGGAACTGCAACGTTACCATTTGTCACTGATACAACACATTTTGAGAATGTTGCTACCTTCTGTGTCGCAAGTATCTTACCTTCACCGACTGCTTAGTGGTGGCAGATAAAGCAGCTGTCAGTTGGGACAGGAAAGAAGAAGATATGGTTTTAAGAACAAATCAACATCTCGCAAGGGGAAATGGGGGTATTTCAGACACTAGCCACTTTTGATTGACTCTATGTTGGGAATGGAGAGGGAAAAGGGCTTCATTTAAACGGACCAATCATCTTTACATGTGGCATTTTGTAACAATACAAATTGATATTTAGGCAGATGCAGTACCATTCTATAGATATAAATACAATGCTGGACACATGTGTGAGGTTTAAGGTTTCTTGTGGGAGCCTGGGCAAGACCGAACACATATAATATAGCAACTATTTTGAGGATATAGAAAAGAGGGCATCACTTTACGCAACGTGTTTGCTTCAAACACTACGCAGGAACTCTAGAAAATTAACATAGCTGTAAGTAGCTTTAATCTATATTTAAACATGTCACATTTACCCGCTGCCAATATCAACTTCGCATTAACATAAACGGCCTGTGCCGATTCAGCATGAGGTAATAAAGGTTAATTAGGGAACCTCAATATTTCAATTAAGTAAAGAAATGAAGTCAAAACACTGTCCCTACCTGCTCAGGGCGTCACACGCTAAGAGAAGTAAGTAACCTTCTCACATAGACATATCAAGGAAAAAACATAACAACAAGACGGTGTCTTTTCTACGTGACTCTCAGTATGTAGTCATAGTTTTCTTTTTATTTCATCGTTAAACCTACATTTTCAATCAAACTATACATTTGTGATGGCAGGAAATGTTTCTCCCCAAATGTGTAGATTTCGTTTTAATATTCTGCAATCCAATTTTAGTAGTACCCTGTGGCCCGTCCCGGCCCAACTTTTCTTGGCCCGAGCTTTAGGTACTCCCAACGAGAAGTTAATCGAAGCAACGAAAAAATAATTGAAGTAACGAG